CCCCAAAACCCCAAAACCCCGTTAATTTAGATATTGCAAATTTAGAGATTAAATAAATTTAAATAAGTATTAATATTAAACCAGAATTAAAGGGGTGCATGAAAAAACTTAATTAATTGGATATCCAAAAGTGCAAGGAATTATTGGAGATCAAAAGTATCATTAAACTATTACTCTACTATTCTTATGATTAGTAGTAATGACTTAATGGACTCTAGAAAAAGAATGTAGACCTTGATTTAACAATTGATAATTAGAACAACATAATAAGATATACATGCTCATTTACAGCAAAATTTAAGTCAGATTATTTTAGCCAGCCCAATTTGCTCTTGGAAAATATTGCTAAAAATTTACTATTTTATATAGGGATATCTAAAAATTTAAAGGTTGATAAACTAACCCATTTAACTAGGTTTACTGATTTAAATTTTGAGAGATTACTTATGATTTAAACTTCACCATAAAATACTGTGAATCTTTTAGTAGCTTTAAAAGATTAGGGATTAACTTACGCTTGTGAAATTTATAATGAAAAAATAGAAATTTAAATGTCCAAACTACAGGTATAGCAATTAGATATTGATATTCCAGGAGATTGTCTAAAGATTGAATTCAATTAGAAATTAAGTTAATTTGAGTAGTTGGAGTAATAAAGTGTTGTTAACTGTGTGAAATAAGTAATAAGATCTTTGAATTTAAATTTTCCACATATTACTTCCTTTGTGACAATTAATAATTAAAAGATGCAAAGCCCCTAAATACTAAGTCTGTAATATGATGCTAAATATTTAGTGTATCCAGGGAACAGAACTTTATTTGAAGAATTCAAAAAATAATGTAAGCAAATAATTCTTCAAAAATACAGCAATATCAATGATAATTCAAGTGCCTTCAGCATGTATATAAGTTATCCAAGTTAATTTTATAGTTAATAATCTTATTACTAGATCAAAACATAATCATATATCTAAGTCTTAAAGGACTAAATGGAGCAAGGATGCATATATTTGTGATTGTCGTATAACTATGATATTTAAATTGAGAAAGATTTCTACAAGAAAATAATTACTTATATTTTGAGATATAATTTGAAGCAAGATGGATTTAAAACTAAAAATTTTATGAAAAATTAAGATTTGGAAAAGCTTCTAATATAAAATGAACAGTCTTTTCTAATTTATGATATAAATCTTAAATCTCTGGTTATCATCTTGGTATTTTATTATTATTTTAATTACTAATTATAATAGGACGTTTAAATGACAAGATATGAGAGTCGATAAGTCATGGAAAGAAAAGATTTGATTGAAGTTCATAAATGTATTGCTTAATGTATTGATCCACTTATTTCACAACTAAACATTAATTTGTACAACCAGAAAGTAAGTTTCAAGAATTCTGATTAAATACATAACATAATATATATTATATAGTAAAGAGATAAATTTGATACATACCTGAATATAATACCAGCGACTATATAGAAGTACTATCAAAGATAAGTGAACTTAGATGAGAGTTTAAACAAAGAAGTAGTAGATGAATTGGCTATAAGTCTTAAACAATGCTTATTAGAATTATGATATTATAATAAATCTTTGATATTGATCATCTTATTCTTTGAAATTTTTATTAAAAATCCTTTGGGGTTTTGGGGTTTTGGGG